CCCCCCCCCCCCCCCCCCCAGGTATAACAGGGCTCAATGGGCGCCAGTGGGACACCCCGGCGTCTTGACACCTGCACGGAGCTTTTCAGGCGTCGTAATTTTCGATAATATCCCGAGCGCTGCGCTCCTCTCCACGATTTGTGTATGAATAACGGAATAATTCGCCCCCCTTTTGTTCCATCTGTGCTACCTCAAATCCAAATAAAGATGCCTTTTAGTATTAAAAGTGGTAGAAAATTACAGGTAATTATCTTTGACGGTAAAAACGCTGTAATCAGCGGGCTACATCAAAAATTACCCTAATTATGCCTGCATTTATGAGAATGGGAGAGGAGGAAAAAAAAAACGGCTCACTTGGATAAAAACCCACAAATTGTCCCAAATATCTCCTTCATATTGAACGCCGCTGCAGCTGGCTGCTTTGTTCAGCATCGATCCCGTGGAGCTTGGCATTTAACGGCCTGCATTAGGACGGAGGGAAGGGAGAAAACATTTTGTCAATACTTCTAATCATTGGGGGTGAAACGACGAGACGAGCTGGACCTGGAGCAAAAAAATAAAAAAAATAAAAAGTCTTTCGGGTAAGTTAATTTCCTCTGGCGTCGAGGGCGTTTCATAAATCTATCTTGTCACCCACTGAGTTTATTTCAAAATGTTTGATGAAATGGAGGATCTGACTGTGTCATTAACTTCTAATTTTTGTGTGTATGTTATAAACTTGTGTGCACCAGGGGGTGATGGGGATTAGGCCTGATGTGATGTTGGCCCAATATGAAGCAGGAAAAAAGGCCTGACATGATTTCTTTTTTCTTTTTAAAAATATTTTCATGCGTGTGTGTGAAAATCATTCAACAGCAGGCGTCTGTTTGAGCCACGGTTTACTCATTCTGACAAAACATAAAAAGTGTATGTACAACTAAAATGTTGCAGATTATATTTACAGACAGACAATTTGCTTGCATGTTGGATAAAAACAACCAAAAAAGATCCCAAATAAAATGCAGTCAAGGAGTCCATCATGGCAACAAAAAACGAGGGTTCTGTGCGTCAAAGCGCACGGAGAGAGTCTTTCCTTCCAGAAAATAATGTCTCTTGGATTATTTGGTATATTCAGATACTGACATGAATGAAAGCAGAACAAATGCCATGAACAGCCATGTAAAAAAGGTTTAGTCCTCATGTTTGTGACACCACACCGGAGGCTTGGCTGTGTTTTGTCCATGTCCTCTCCAGCATCCAGTCTTTGCGCTGACGCATGTTGTAGGAAAGAAATGCACGGCGGTGCCTCCAGACCAGCTCGCTGATCCCTCACCACTCTGCCAGTCTATCTCTGCATTGAATCTTGATGTGGTGAGGAATACCAGTGAGAGTAGCCGGCCATGTAGCTGTTGGCCGGCATGCTTACTCCTTTGGAAGAGGCCGAGACGTCCCAGATTGGAGGGATTGTCGGTGAGCGCGGGGACAGGGACATGGAGCCCGGTATGGGGTCGCTCTCATGCGGGTTGGTGCCTTGCTTTAGCAGCTTCTTGAACTTCGATCTCTTATTTTGGAACCAAATCTTTACCTGGAAGCATTACAAGAGAGGATTGTGGCGCAGTTAGGTTGGTTTTGGTTTATTTTCACGCACGGGAGTGTAGAAAAGACAAAAGATGCCTCGTACCTGTGTCTGTGTCAGTCCCAGAGAGGCCGCCAGCTCCGCGCGCTCAGGTAAAGCGAGGTACTGCGTCTGCTGGAAACGATGGTTCAGTGCTTGGAGCTGCAAACTGGAATAAATCGTCCGCGGTTTGCGAATCTTCTTGCCTTTCCCATTAAAACGAATCTCCCCGTTTTCAATCACTGTCGTTTTCTGCTGCTCTGCAACAAAAACAAACAATATTATTAATTTTAACTTTGTTTAAAAAAAAGCTACATCGCTGCTCACTTTCCCCCCTTTCTTTCTTTAATGCTTGAAGATGTCAGATCCAGCAGCTGAAGTGTGTCAGTGCCGTGCATCATTTTCAGGAGTGTGATGAAGATGCGTCTGATCTCTCCTCGTCTTCACCACAACCCTCATAGCTGCTGCTGCTGTCATATTTAGGATATTGCTGGTAATGACATGTCAATTAAATGCTAATTACAACATTCGAGGCGTGCGCGGGCTGCCTAATTTCCACGAGATGTTGCGTGCGTGCGTGTGTGTGTGTGTGTGTGGGGGGGGGGGGATTTGATTGCATTGTCGGGCATTAAAACGCGTTTGTGTGTGTGTGTTTGGGGGGGGGGGGGGGGGGGGATACAGGCCGGAAAAATGTGGAGAGGAAAAAACAACAAGCAGCAAAAAAGTCTGCAGATCCTGAGCCTTTGTGCGCGCGCTCTCCCCTCAGCGCTGCAGACAACCCCCAGTGTCGGAGCAGTTTTTTCCGGGTGAAATACTTGATCCGGACCAGTCTGAGGTTCTGTTGGACGCGGTGTGTCCCTCTCTCCCCCTCTCTCCACGCGCAGAAGCGGGTCTCTTACCTGCGCCGTCTAACCTTGTCTGTCCTCCCGTGTTGTTGTGGTAAGAAGGCAGGTACGGGCTGTGGTGCGCGTGGCTCACGTACGGGTAAGGTAACGACCTGTTGTAGGTGTTGCTCCCGGGGTACGCGCTGTTCTCGTGCTGGTGGTGCGCGTGCGAGCCGGAGTGGAGACAGTGCAGCGGGTAGTGTCCGCCGGCCATCGACGGGGAGCTCTGCTGTGAGTGCGACTGCTGCCCAAACTCCATGAACGCAGACTTGGACGAGTCCTGAGCCTCCAGACCGTCAGCCATCGTTGTCATGGTCATCATCGAATTTTCTGCCTTGAGAGCACTCACCCCCCCTCTCTCTCAAGACCAAATCGGTTTTCTCTCTCTCGCTGTGCTGTTGTCTCTCCCTCCTCTCCAGCGCGAGAAGATACTCTCCTATTAACACCCGAATTTTCCAGCGGTGTCTTTACCCCCCCCCCCTCCTCCTCCTCACCACTGCCGCTTTTTTTTTGTTGGTTCTCCCTCAAAGGTAGGCATAAGTTAAGGGGCGAGATTTTAAGGTGGATTCTGTTAAAACTGAGCCCTTGCTTTCAGACTTGATGCAGACACCACAAGTAAAATGGTTTGTCTCCAAAGGGCAGCGCCTCCCGATTGGTCATCTAACCCAACGTCATCAGGCGCTCTGCGCTGCACGGAGGCTTGAGCTGGAGTTAACCCACCTTACCAGCTCCCCAACCACAACTACGAGGAGGAAAACAATATGTGGTGGGGAAAGACACCTAATTCATCTAGACAAGCTTCACGCGTAAAAAAAAAAAAAAAAACTCCATTTTTTTTCCACCCTTTCCCTCCCTAAAGCTCCAAATTACGCACGACGCACAACACAGTGCGCAATTTGATTAAGTCTGATGAGCTTACAGACAATATACCTCTTTTACCTCTCAGGCGTTGGGTGCATGCTCTAGGAAATAATTACCTGCTTGAAACCAACACATGGAATTTATATGATGGGACTTAATATTGATTTTTTAAAAATATGGAAAAAAAAAATCGAGAAACTTCTTCCTGCGCATGCACAGAACAGTTAATAAATCATTTATTTGTAAATATTAAGAATTTATTTCACAAGTTCTTCTTGTTGTTGAGCTGTAATGGTTATGAAATAATCCAGTTTTTTGTGTGACACTCTCGTGTCGACTAATGAGCCTCCACTCCCCCCAGCTCTCCCCCCAACAAAAGCAACATATATTATAACAGCAGCTACTGACCATGTGATTAAAGATCCTCAAACAATTCCAAATGCAGCGCGTGTGACACATCAAATAACAATCTGCCTGAGGTACAATAGGTTATTCTGCAGATGGAAGGGTGGATACCCAGATAAGCTGACAGTCTTTTATCCCCCAGTAGCGCGAGGCCTGATAGGTCCTGAATATATGTAAATTATACACTCTGCATCTGGGGGCTGCTAGTTCCATTCGACAAATAAGGAATAAAAATATTATTTCCGCTTCATGCCAAAGGTATTCAAATTCTGTATCTTTCAGCAGTTTTTTTTTCTGCATTGATTTACGAAAAATATATAATAAAAGAAAGCGATGGAAAATAATTATGGCAGCAATCAAGTTACTACGAAAACCTATTTGATTAGCGGCCACACTTTACTCAAATTGCAGCTATAAAATTAAGAACAATTCGCCCGTAATGATTATGGACTGGATTTATTTTGGGGAGGTTGGAAATAAAAGTGGATATAGCATAAATTATCCCCTAATTATACGCCAGTGTGGCCTCAATTATCCTCTTATCAAAAATGGTTGTCTAAATGCGGCGTTTAGTTTCAATTTTCTCCCTTTTTTTTTTTCCTCCTTTGAAACAAGAACTTGGTACCTTGCTATTATCGTCATGCAGCAACGGCTGTTATTTACTTTTGTGGGATTTAAAAAACGCGCACAAGCAGCCGGATAATCATTTTTACGCAAGCTGTGGACTCAGAGAGGAACACTGGAGGCGAGGGAGTCCGCTGATGGATTTATCGAACCCTTCCAGACATTTTTTGGTTCTTTTTTATTTTAAATCTGAACATTCCTCTGCTGATTGAAAGGCTTCAGGTAAGAGCTTCCTTTTCTGTCCACCTGTCTCTGACAATTTTGCATTTCAAGCCCATATTTGGCCGTGCAGACGTGTGCGCACCTCGGTCACCCCTCAGTGATCTAACATAGTGGCCCGTGTTCCACCTGGACACGTACAGGAGAAACCAGATCCTCCAACCCCCCCTTTCTAATCGCCTTTTGAGTGCGACAAAGACAAGCATGCTTTGCTTCCCTGCAGACTAAAAAAAAAAAAAAAAAATCCAGTGTGGCATGATTCTACATCACCAGCCCTGTTTTTTATTCCGTTTTCCTGCAGCAACCCGCGCGCTCCCCTGTGGGATTATTAAGTTGCGGGGTAAATGTCCTGGTTCTGGCTGAGATGGGAGCCATTTCTCTGAGATTTAAGGGGGAAGTGAGGTGGTGAGAGGACGGATTTGCTTGAACAGAGACAACAAAACATGTTTAAGATGTGAGTGCTGACAGCCGCATCTGACTGAATGAGACTTTTAAGAAGAGAGCTCATGTTCCACCTGTTCGGCCCATTTCGGAATAATAAAAAAAAAAAAGATGAAAAAATGTGTAAAAAAAATAAAAAGAAAAAGAAATGATGCATTTGCACTCGGCCCCTCACCTTATTTATCTGCCTCATCATCTTTTATTTCAATAGTTCATGGTTTCACATTAGGATGTCAGTCATCAAAATCCAAAGCTGCAGATCTAAAAAAAAAAAAAATCACTTTGTCCCTATGAGTAGATGATTGACCTTCAGCAAAATCAATGGCCGTGGAGGGTTTTTTAAGCACAAGTGGTCTTTACGTCCAGCTGTCTTATAAAGGCTGATGAATGACTCTCTACAGAGTCACTCCAGCCGCTCAGGCCTGGGATTTCCCTGCCACCCCTTCTCTGGGATGGGGTGCATGGAAAGTGAGAACATTTCTCAGCACATTTACTGGTGAAACTTTGACTTTGGGTCGCGGTTAACGCTGCGTCAGAGCGCATGGATAAAAAAAAAAGATTTATACTGAGAAAGATTTACGCCAATTGTTCATCCTGTCCAGTCTTTTCCTTTCGATCTGAAAGAGACAGCGTTTTGTTTTCCCTAAGGCCACATGTGTTGGTCATATTTCACGCGGAGTTAAGACACGGGTCACATAATTGGAGCGCTGCGTGTTTGCGGGTGAGTGGCTCCTCCTCGGCTTCGCAGGGACCGCGGGCCGGTTGAGGACACCGAGGCATGTCACTGCACTTAAACAACAAGCTCTTCTTCTTCCAGAGCGCATTGGTCTCCCTCTCTCTTTTTCTCCCACTCCCTTTCTGCTCAGACAGTCAGGCGTCGGCTCCTTTCCATCTCTCGCGTGAGAAAGGCGGGAAGTGGCAAAAGGAAGAGCAGATGCACCACACACAGCTGACAGTAGAACGTGGGTCACTTTAACGAGACTGCACTGGAGCAAAACCCTCAAACACAAACACAAATCAAGCAACAGATGAGCTCAAATCTGCTGCAGGAAGCCGTCTCCAAATGGCGCTTCTTTTACGCACCGCCGAGTCACAAAAACAAACAAACAAACAAAAAAAAAACAGCAACTAAGAAAATAAGTGTGGTCAGCACATAAAGAAATTCACGCGCATCCAGGCGTTCGGCTGTTTACAATAGGGTTTGCATCATAAATCTGAGCCGCATTATCTCCAGAATAAATAGGTAAATTGGCACATGCATGGCCCCCCAGGTGCACACGAGAGGGCCCTCAGATGGACCCAGCATAGCGTGCACAGAGAAGCTAAATGACCAGCTAAATGACTACAAATTCACCCCACCCCACCACCTCCCACCTATCCAATCTCCACAGCCTCTCAGAGACTAATGGATTTAATTTGGCACGGCTGAAGCTGCACTGGTCCCACTCAGGTTGTGCCGCGCGCTAATTAGTCCTGCTTGTTTCTCTTGTCGCCTTCCTTCTTTGCGTCTTTGGGTCCACCTGAGTGAGTGCAGCTCCTGCAGTGCGTTTGTTTAAAGTTGCTAACATGGCTCAAAGTACAGTTAAAAATAATTAAGAAAGACAGACGCAGCGTCATTTGGAGCGGGGACCTGTAGATGATCCTCTGCTGTTTCAGCTAAAAGTAAAATGCAAGTGTTTGATTTAAAAATAAAAATAAACATTTAATATGAAGTTGTTTAAAGCGGCAGAGAAAACGTTTAACCGTGCAATGACGCCCACTCCATCATCTAATCTGCTTTTTTTTTTTACAAAAAGTTGAATTTTATGTTGGTGACAAATAAGACTTGGGGGGCCCGGGGTGCAGAAGAGTCTTCCTTTCCTCCCTCTCGACTTAATACGCGACATTATTAGGTCTGACAGCACAGTGGTCGGTCTTGAAGGAGAGGATTTGGTCTGTAGATGACAGACAGGAAGGCCAGCAATCATGGGCTTTTTTTTCTCTCCTCCTTTTTTATCTGAATGTACTGTTCGATGCCGTTTATCCCTGATGATAGAAAATTGTTCTGTTGCCAGGACGCTGCAGCCGAAATAGAGGGCAGGAGCAACATTTCCATTTTCCAGTTTGAAAAGCCATTGAAATGAATTAGTAAAAATGAAAAAAAAAAAAAAAAAACGGAGGAAAATGAGAACGAATCTCGTGGTAAACAAAAGGGGAGAAAACAAAGATACCATTTTCTTTAGCTGAGAATCCACCCTCCTCATTTTTTACGTTTTTCTGCCTTTCTTTTCTTCAACTGCAGCATGAAGGTTTTACTTCAACAGTTGCAAATTACACGGTTGGCTTATAATGTAGGCCCGGGCCTACACTTCAAAGACAATCATTTATTTCCCAACCTCCTGGAATAATTAGAGCTCCTTTTTATCTGTCCTGACAGAAAGAGAGCGAGAGAGAGAGAGAGAGAGAGAGAGAGAGAGAGAGAGAGAGAGAGAGGGATAAAAGGCAGACATTAGGAAAGAATAGTTGACAACAAGGAGCATTAAGCAAAATGTTTGAGTAAAAATGATCAGGAAAGTGTCCCAGCAGGGGAAAGAATTATATTTTACCACCATCTCGTTTTATTCAGCTAAAATGAAGCTGTAGAAAATATTAGGCCTGTTTAAAATATATTAAAAATAACAGAAATGCCATTAAAAATTTTTTAATTCTCAAATATTTTCACGTAGTTCACTAAAATGAGTTTCAAAAGACTTATTTTGATATTGATAATTTTAAATAGCAAAATTCTATTATTGTTATTATTTTGAATGCAACTTATTT